TATTAAAGGTTACAATAAGACAAAAAAAAAAAATGAACTGATAAATGAACTGATTTTTATGCTATCTGAAAGTACCAGAGAGACATTAACATAATGTTAAAGTTGGAAATTAAATTAAAATTGGTTTTTATTACAGTTATTAATTATTGTAAACATATATATATATTTACACTGTTCATGAATTAAAAGTTTTGGTAATATGATATTATAAAGTAATATTTATCATAAACACTAATTGGTAGAGGCACTTATTTTGTCACTTCCCTCTGATTGTAACTACTACCATATATTAAATACTACTTAACAACAACTTACTACTATTAACAACTTTTCCATATTTTACAAGACAAATGTGAATGACTAACATACAAATGAAAAGTGATTTATACACAATTTACGAGTACTTGATGAAAACAATTTTGTATCCACAAAAAAGGTTATTTTGAAATGATATATTATCAAAGCCAAGTATGGTTGTTCAATCTATTAAATTTGTATTGTTTTATAGCAGGATAAACAATTGTAAAAATATGTTTTTAAGTAAACAGGTCTCATGTTAAGTGTATGGTAAAGAATTGAAAATAATACCACTTAATGGAATATTTTAATGATTTTCAACTTCAGCTCATTTCTGGAGACTCAAGAGCACACAATCACATTATACATAATTGAATTTAATCATGATTCATGAATAGTATGCCGGTTTTAATAACAGATTGCAAATATTAATTCACAGTTAGACGTGACACATAAATTTTACATCTTTTCAAAGATTTGAGTTTTAGATAGCACAATAAGCTTATAATCATTTTAAAAAGTCAACCAAATAGTAAAAAAAATTAAATGAGTAAGTAAAGCACACCACAGTAACTCTAAATTTCTGTAGGATAGTCTATGATTAAACAACAAAACATTTACATTTACTATTGTCTTGCCAGCTACTGTCTGGTTTAAGTCTTAGTTATGGATGTACATAGAAACAAGCAGACTGTAGCAATTTGTGACTGTTATGTTGCAGTATAAATCTTGATTCTTTTACTGACATGAATTGAGAACAAACTGCATTCTTTCTTCAACTTGCAGAGCAACATTTTTTTATCACCAAGTTACATTAATTGATATAAAAAGTACATAATAATGAAAACAATAAAGTTTTAAAACAGTATTGCACTCCTTTGACTAAATAATGACAAGATGATGTTTAAATATACTTCTACTAAACATTTAAGACTTAACGTACAAGAATAAGAAGCAAAGCTTTGCAAACAACATTACAAAGAAGCCACAAATGTACACACAATTAAATAATTAACCAAATCAATTTGTTGCTTAAATAATCTTAAAAATATAAATTCAATTTAGCTTCTGGAGACTGATCTCTAATGCTGACGGTTCTTTTAATCCAATAGACATATTCTTTTATATTTATAGATGGTGAAGTTACAGTTTTAAGTTTGGTTCAGAGTCAGATGATGAAGAATTAGCATTAAAACTTGAAAGCTATTTTGTGATTGTTGAAAGTTGAACCACGATCTATAAAGGACCAAAGTCATACACTCTCCTACTAGACCAAGTCCTATATAATAATACTCTGTGTTCTTAGATAATTCTGGTTACTACGTAAATTACTTTTTAGAAGTAAAATTGCAACAAGTGCAATCATGATAATTTCAGGTAATACAATACAAGATTTGTTTAAACTGAAGGTAAACACAAGTGTACACTTGTATGTATGACGCCATTGTAATTTCTTGACCAAACTACAAATAAAGTATATTTTTATTTGATTTGAATTTAATCCCATAAAATATAAAGATAACTATAGATCGTAAATAAATATAAGGAAAATAATTTTTTCCATTTAAAGGTAGTACTGTACCTAAATTTTACTCTGTGACTGCATATGATAAGGAATCAAAAACCCAATTTCCATGTAAAAAATTACAATTGGATACATATTTAAAACTCTGTTAAATTTTAAGAAACAATCTTATACTTTTCATCTAATAAAATTGTAATGACAATTTCGAGATTTTAGTTAAAAACTGGAAAACTCTTGAAAGAAACCCTTATTAAGCCATTAAAGCAGTAAAGAGCAACTTATAACAATACCAACTAGTATACTAGTAGATAACAAGCCTTAAAGCATAACATCAGGATTAGATTGTATTTAAGTATTATATTGGTAATGCACACAAAACACAACACTAAAAATACCCAACCCTTATGTTCCACTTTATTTCTTGGTTGAATCTAGTAATACAGTAGCTATTAAATAAACTACCTATATTCCTCGTGAAATTAAATTAGCAACTAAAAACCTATTAGTAATGGATTTTAATATACAGTAGTTAATTATAAATTTAAATAAAGGGGGTTTCAAGTTTTTGTAGATACATTTAAAGTCCAATACAGTATAGACAACTTATGTGATAAATTATTACTACTTTGTACTATTGTTTTATATTGTAAACATTAGTTTTTATAACCATTGACAAAAGTTCTCTAGATGGCTGATCGTTCATCAATTATTGGTACTGGTGTATAATTGCGAATATGAGTTTGTCGTCTAAGTATACAAAAGTTTTAATGTAAATTTTATGTCAAATTTCCTCAATAATATAACCCAAGGAGAACTATTTTAACATGTATTATACAATTAATTTTATATACATAAAAACACTTTTTGATAACATTGTATTTTATCCATATGAGCTCAACCATTATCAAAATAGTTTTTCATAAAAAATAATCCTTTAACACTTTCTACACACTCCTCACTAGAGAAAATAGAGTTATTTTCTTACCATTTAACTTGAGATATTTGTGTATTTGTATTTTTTAGTTAATCTAAAGTAGTCTATTACAAGGAATAGTTAAATATTTAATTGAATATTAATTAAATACTAATAAAATATTAAATAAATTTAAAAAATACAAATATATTAAAGGACGTTTTTATCACAAACATTTTAACTGGAAGTTGAAAGTGTTTAATTTTAGGTCTACTTGTTAAATGTAAAGTATTATAAAACTATTGCAGAAATTTAACATATTTTGATAAATATAAAACTAATAGTTTAAAACTGGTCACTAAAAACCACTGGGAAATTGTAAAAGCAAAAGCCAAATGTTTTAATAAGAAGTATTTAAGTTTTTAATAAAAACTATCTAAAAAGATTTAACGTAAAAATGTCACAAATATAAACCATATCTGTACTCCATTACCAAACAATTGAATTCTCTTAAACTCGATATTATTAGAGTAACTGCTTAGTAATAGTTAATCAATGAGAATAAATTTGACTAGGAAATTATTTTAAAACGTGAAAAACAGTTAAAAAATAAAACAAACAAAAAGTGATTTAGTTTTCAGTACTACTATATTATTTTTACAATCATCTTAAGTCAAAAACAAAACTCTTAGGAGCTATGTTAAACTAATGAATGTAACAATTTTAAAATTTTGAATCAGAGAGTCAATGATACAAATTAGAAAAAAAACCTAGCGAATTATGTTTCTAACCTATTGTGGTTATTTATTAAAGAAAATAAATATGCAAAATTAACCACTTTTTCAATGAATATAAGTTATAAAAAAACATTGTTAAAGCTATCGGTAATGAGATGGAAATGTATTATATTTAATAAGAATACAATTATAACTACACAAAAGGATGTTTTTATGCAACACATATCTACCCAAATAAATCAAATAATACCATCCGAGGGAACTAAAAACTTTTCTTTGGAATTCGTAAAAAAATAAGTCTAAGTGTATAGTAATAAGTGTAAAGAAGCAATAAGTGTTTAAATATATTTTTTTTTTAATTGAAAAGAAGAATCTTAACAACCAGCTGTACTAATTATTGCAGTCGACAATCAAAGAAGGGATTAACCAGAGCTCTGGCTATAAGTTGCATTTACTTTAAATTTAAAGGAAGAATGAAAACAGAAGAAACTGATAGCATAGACAAAAGAATTAAATATAGACCGACGGCAGTGCTGCGGTTAACATATATTCTGGCGTCCAAACTAGGAGTGCCGTGTAGTTTCGGCGCACACTGCTGCAGCGTCAAGCACTAGCGAACATTGCCATGACAAGTTGGTAGTTGGAGCCAGAGTTGCCAACTTCTGGAGAATTCCCAGGAATCCAGGGAGTAGGAGTTTGTTACGGTATTTTTCGGTGTTTTAAAAATTTCCGGGATTAAAAAAATGGGCTTTTCTGTTAAAATTATGGGATTTCAAAATTTTGAACTTTACCCATATTGAAAAGTGGGTCTGATAGGTTTGTAGCATTTCATTCGCAAGGGTGGTAGTGCTGGTAGCAGACAGTGAGCATACTGAGCATGCTCTCGTGGCACATCGCGGAACCTTCCTTCGACAGTCTATATTTATTCTATGTGTCTATGCTGATAGTAAAACTGTTAGGAGAGTCACTAAAGCGGTAGTTGCAACTATAACTTAGCGGATGATAAGAATGTGTTTTATGTAGGATGTTACAAATTACTCAATGTTGCAAATTGATAAGGATTAAACTTTTTGATGTGGACTACTTTTAATTGAAATCAAAATTGTCACCTTAATTATTTAAGATGGTTTAAGACAATTTTACTAAAATCATATGAGCAATTTGAAAACCCATGCGGACCGGAACCAAGAGTAGCGGCATCAAGTACAACATCTCTCACTGTAATAAATTTAAAATCTGCGGAATCAATTCAAACTTGATTGGATAATTTGATTCGAAATTCTTACTTATGTTAATGTTATGATTGTTATGATATCATTTTTACTGTACAGTATAATACATTTTAACTGTGGAAAGCTAAAGCGAAATTTGGTGCTAATCGCATAAGCAAATGGTTATTTGTGACTCAAATTTTACCAACCTATTACTTTTAACCTATACTTTACAGCTTTAGTTGAGTATTTAGTTGTTGTGCATATCCCCAGATGTGCCAAATCAAGGGGAAAGGGAAACAAAGAATGAAGCTTACTTTTACCTCGCACGGAGGGGGAGCGCTCCTGTAAGAGGGCACTATCTTGAACGTAACTGACCCTCTTGCTTCTCTCTGAAAAAGAAGAACAAATTAAAACATGGATTAAGATTATAGACCATACAATTAAGTAACATCTTGGCCGTGTTGGGTGTGGAAGTTGTCACTTTCATCTTAGAGAAAAGAACATTGAGTTAGGTGATGGCCAAAGAAGATTATGTGCGTAGTCTCTTCTCACTGAAAAAGAATAGAATGTGTGGTTTAGTCGGACAACATAGCATATCAAGGGAGGCCTCTTGAAGTTGTAGAATGCTACAATAGGATGTTAGCTGATTGGTTATGATTATGGCATAGTAATTAGAAAGTTGCCACTTTGATAATGAGAAAAGTCAGTATCTTGTTGATGGTTTTAAACTTGACCCAGTGTTTGGTAATTGGGTAGAATAAAAGGCCATGGCTAATGAAGCAACTTAAGGTAAAGGAGGTATAATCTCATCCACAACACTCCTCCTTTACTTATATTTGCCTCAAAATTGTCCTATGGAATCTTGCAGAAATCTAATCTATTGGTACATAAATACTGAACACTGCAAAGTGCAAAGTACGAGTATGTAGTTAGTATCAAATGAAAGATGCTTGTCAGATAAGATAGTAGATGATTATAGTATAAGAACATTGGCTGGTAATGTTTTGTATTTTCTTGATTTTTTCTGAAAAAGAAGAACAAGATGCCTAAGGATGTGGCAAATTGTTCCTTTTCATAATAGTCACTATAGTCCTATTAATGATGGTTCTTTTAGACAAGACAGCAGATTTTTTGTTAGGAATTGTACTGCCAGGAACATAGCATCAAGTCTGAGGGATACATAGTTGTCCTCTGAAGACTGCATGTCTCTAGTGAAGGTGACAACAGCTTAAATATATGACACCACAGGCTATGTCACCACTTGACTAAAATTAGTACTAAACACAAAAAAGTCAAAGCCCTCACTCACTCACTGATTCATCAGTAATTCTCTAACCAGACTAGCTAGAAGGCTGAAATTTGCTATACTCACAATTCAGGTAAAAATAGGAAAGCTAAACAGTTTTCATAATGATTTTACTAAAGCTGTGGTTTGCTAGACACGCAATATATGTGCTGTAATTTAGTTAAAGTGTGATTTAAAAGCGCGCCAATTTAGCTGTTGGTAACATGCAGCAGAATTTATTTGATTGGTTTCCAAGACTGCGTCATAAGATACGTGCGTAAGTAAGGAACAAATTGTTTTATTGTTGTTAGGAGTGAAAAAGAAATGAGTTAATGTAAGAGATTGTTAAGGGCTGCTTTATTGTTATATGAGGAATGAAGATTTAGACATCATCCTAACAGTTTCTTTAGAACAGAACGGCTGCATTTTTTCGGATGGATTCCGTTTTCCTAAAATTCGTACAGACATAATGTGTTTAAAAAAATAAAATTTTTTCAGATATACAGTGAATTACAATTAGAAAACTGAGAAGATAGAACACAATTTGAAACTCTCCTCTAATAGTAAGGGGTTGTCGTCAAGATCCTACCCCGACAACACACCACCATCTAGATAGCCGAAGTGTTGGGTCGAGTTGTGACAGTATAGTCATTAATTATAATATATAGTCCATTTTCGTACTGTCCGCCAGTAATTTTAATACGAGAATATGCTTTATTTCTTTTCATAAAACCTTTTGTAAGGCTTTTGATTATGGACGCTAACTGACTACAAGTACAGGTAATGTATCATATATAAAGAGGGAAACGTGATTCATATGATATTATTTCTTTGTACTATCGGTCGCTGATTACTGTACAGAAACATCTTTTTCTTGCCTGCATTAATCCATTTACACTAATGTCGATTATATGTGCTAACTAGAGCTACTGTTCAACATATCAAGCTATAGTCAACTTGTGACCTACAAATATACGAACTGTCAATTAAATTGTAAGTTAAATTGTAATATACAAAATGTAGGCTACGTGTTACATTTAGTAACTGCAAAACCTTTTAAATAACATTAGGTTTATGACAATATGGTTTAGTATTATAACTCTTAATTTAAAAGAAGCAAGCCTTTGATGATTAATTACCCTTGTAATTTATTTAGTTAAGATCTTAAACCCAGGATAACATTTCACTAAAATGTTTAGTAAGATATCTACTGGGGAGCGAGCTGGTCTAGTCCTAGAGCACGGGTTCAAATCCCACCAATAACCAATGCATTTTATCTACGTGTAAATGCCGCGACCCTCTAGGACTAACCAGAAGTACTGTAATGTGTAAAACCATTCTGGGCTAGAACCTAGTGTCCTAGGATGTGAAGGTGAGATATCTCTTTTAAATTGTTAATACTATGTTTATTCCTAACTCAAAACAAACTTTATAAGAAACAATGATAAGTATCGTAAACCCTTTGTTCATTTAGGTTAATAAAATTGGATATTCATACTTAAATACAATTGTACATATCATTTAAAGGTACATAAATCTTGAGCTATCTGAAATGATTCTAAAAATGTTTGTGAGTGACGAACCTGAGGGTCTTAAGTGAGCTTAAATTCTAATGGATACAACAGAGCGTTTTCCGTCCCTTGGTAAAGAACTGAATCATAACTGAGGTTCTGTTTCCTGTAGATAAGAAGCAATATCAAGTTAATTAATTCCTGTGTCGTTGAAAAATTTACGTTGGAAATAAGGATTTTGTAGTCACAGTGGACATTTTTTTTTGTAATTGCAATGGATAAGTTGGTACAACTCATACTCATGTTGTTAACAATATCTTTACAAAATCGTTGTGTAAACTACTATTCCGTCAAAAATATGGATCAAAATTTATTGTAACTAATGTATTTTCCCATGAAACCCCATAAACAAACAAAAAATCGGATTTAAGGAAAAAAGCCAGTTTTTTATTAAAACTGATGTGTTATGGTCCTTATATTTCTAAATAAAATAGTCCAACCCCCCTATTGCTAAAGCAATTGCAATTCAAAGGTTTTTGCAACTTTTGTGATTTTCCCCATAAAATATCATAGTTACTCCTTCCGCTTATCCATGACAAAGGTTGTTGACTAAATAATGGGAGAAAGCGTGTGTCAGATTGCTGATGCCATTTATTTTTACAAAATAAGACAATGAAGTTTTGTCATAAAAAGGCAACAATTAAAGGAAGTGGCATCGAATGGAACATTCAATACCGTATACAAAGTAAATAATAGAATTGGAAATACAACAGCCTAATTTATTTTAATAGATAGAAAACCACAAATCAATCAAAAGAAGTAGGCCTATCAATATAAATAAATGCAAACAGAAAATAGCCTAACTGGAACCAATGACCGGAAAATGCCTGGCTGCCCATAACTGCTGGTAAATTCAATTAAAAAACTGCTGAACAAAACAATAAAACACTGTTGTTTTTTATGCTGCATACACCACAGCATTGCAATGTTTGGAACGTGCAACGGGACCATTTTATATGAATTCCAGATGTAAGTAGGGTTATAACAATAAATACTAAAACAATCCTGATACACAATATGCATTCTCTCTGAATTGATTGATTTCAAGGGGTAAGAAAGTGTAGGGATGAGTGACTGTGAATTTGCCTGCTATTAACATTTGTTAGTAAAGCCATGCTATTAGTTAAGGATTTTTTAAGGGTTGGAGATCAAAAAGTTGAGATCGTTAAAATTAAATTCCGGGTCTCATAGATAAACAGTAAAACCCTGACATGGCAAAATAAAGAGTGCAAGGCCATTTCAGATAACATACTTTTTCAGTTTATCAATGGATGGAATTTAGAGGATAATTTGGTTTAAATATATCTTTAGGAATAGTTATTTACATTATTTTAACGACTGTCATCTTAGAATTTTCAACTGAATACACAAAAGTTATTTGTGTAACTAGTGGGCAAAGGCACTTTGCACTTGTGTTACACATTATTTTACAGTCACCTGACAAAGTGGGCTTTCTTGCACAGATTATAGTACAGAAAGCCTTACTTTGGCGCACACTAGTATTCCAACCAAACAACACAAAACAGCGTGCTTTTATAATACACATATTCCATGTACGCTTGAAAATAAGTCGGAAACACTTAAAGATATTACAACTACAATGGTGCAGCATTTCCCATTTCGTTCAATGTTTGAATTTAACCTAACCTAAAAATGTGTTGTACAGTGTTTAAAAGACTAATTATTTGATTTATAGTAACTGTATGAAAAATATAATGTGTAACACGAGTACAAACTGCCTTTGCTGCACTCAAGAAACTCACCTACAAACACATCCGCGCTGCGTAAACATTTCTCTCGTGTGCAGCAAAGTGCCACTTTGCCCACTAGTTACACAAATAACTATTTACTTCAGTTACTATAAAGAATATAAATAATTATTCTTTTAAACACTATACAACACATTTTTAAGTTTGAACGAAATGGGAAACACTGCAACAGCTGATTGTAATTGAAATATGTGAATGGAAATAGTGTTGCCAACCTATTTCCAAGCGCACACGGATTACGTGTATAATAAAAGCACACTGTTTTGTGTTGTTTGGTTGGAATTCTGGTGTGCGACAAAGTAAAAACTGTGCACAAAGGAAGTAAATGCAGCAATTAGCAGCTTTCTGTACTATATAATCTGGACAAAGAAGCCCACTTTGTCGGGCGACTGTTAGAAAAATCTATTTCTTAAAGTAATCAGCTTGGGATTAAACTTTTAGACCCAAGTAGCATAAACATTATGCTATCGCAGTTTCTTTCGGATTATAGGCGAGCACTATAATCCTCAGCTACCGACACACTAAGTTCACGTTTCATTCCATAACTTGCAGCCCATATGAATTACCCGACGCAAAATAGATAAATATTTTTACAAAAAAGTTTTTAAAATCTTTTATTTCTGAAGAACAGTAGTAAGTAATATTCTTATCATGACCAAATAATTGGTCAAATAATTACAAATTTTTAGACTAGTTTTTTAACAACACAGCTGATACTAATGGCTTGTGAAAGCTATTATGGCTTGCTTAACCCAAAATTAATGGATGAGCACTAAGGATTAATTATCAACTTTGTCAATACAAACAAGTTTGTCAATACAGTACAAACAACTTTGTCAATACCTACACATACTTCGAGGTTGCATTGTTTAGTTGTAAAGTTTATAAGCCTCAGAAACATACAACTCCCTTACATAGGAAAGGGGATAATTTTCTAGGAAGATGTTATGGTTACTGAAGTACAGTACATAAAACTGAGTGTAATATACATTCAACTAGCAGAGTACCCGTCCTTCGTACAGGGTTAGCAAATAAGTATAAAATGCTTATTGCAGTTATACCCGATCTTTGCGTTTGCGATGTGAGAAAACACGGTTTGAGAAAATTTGCTTCCTCAAATTTACGGTATGCGATAGTAATACACATCTACCATAGCCATAATGTTCTACTACTTCACCTACAAAATAGAGAAAGATAGATTAGTAAAAATTCGCAAAATATCATAAATTATTCATGAAATTAAAAACTCAAACCTAACTGTTACTAAACAATCCTACTTTGACGACAGTTCTCATTATCACAGTTTTTTGTTGCTGCTTAGTTCAAATTAGCTGTTTTCATAAATAATGAAAAAAATAATAGTGCTGCACCCTGTTGGTAAATCTTATAAATTTTTAATGCTTTTGCATATCATAGAATCAACTCTTTTAGTTGAAACAGCTGGCTAAATTCTTTAATTCCCTTTAAATATGAATACTCATAAGGTTAACATGGGGAACTGCAGAGCCACTGGGGCGGAGCCCAAAAGGATTTTTGAGATAAGAATATGCCTATATGTTAATCGTGAATGTGAGCTATCATCATGCCAAATTTCAGCCCAATCCGACCAGTATTTTTCGTGTTTACTTGTCACAAACATCAACATCCATACATCCAAACTTTCTCATTTATAATATTAGTAGGATGTTGATGGTACTGGACACATGTTTAACAATGTATTGAAAAGAGGAAAATGTGGATGAATAGGGTTGATAATGGAAATATAATTGTTTATTTGTCTGAGTAGCCGAATGGTTAAATAGCTCACCTTCAAATCTGAAGGTGAATGGTTCGATTCAAGCAAGATTGTTTCTGGCCCCAGATGCTATTTGTCATTGGGCTGTCAAACATTGATGTTACATATTAAACCCCGCTGCAGCAAACCTGCAGACTAACCAAATTTCCATTCATCTGATTGGATTTTCAAGGTTAAGGTAAATATTTAACCACAATAAGAATTTTAACGGTTTTCGACGCTACATTTTCTCTGTGTGGAGCCTCAATAACTCAAAGTTTACCTTTATGAATCGAGGTTTGCATGATGTTTCACAATAATTCAAAGTTTAGCCGTACTGATTTCCAGCTGTGTTTTGACTCCTGTCGAGACATGAAAATCAATACTTCCTTTATTTGTTTGGGAATGCCAAGTACCATTAGTCTGTTGCATGAAGGGGGGGGGGCTAGTACTGAGATTAATTTGTCGCATGGGGTTAAGGTTAAACGATTAAATCGCCAGGGAGTTTGGAATTCTGTCTAACACTTTATCAACGATTTTGAAACACATGTGAATGTATGAGGCTGAAAGCAAATTAATCAAAAATAAGAAAAGATGTAAGAACAGTGAATTTAATGACCTGGACAGATATGGTTAAAGCAGTGTCGAGGTAACATTCCTATAAGGACCAATTTTACAGGAGAAGGCCATTCAATATACCATTTTTATGGATGGTAAATTATTTTATTTTGCTTCCACATTATATATTTTTCTTCAGTACTTTGAACGGCTTGAGTTTGATTTATAAAGGTTTTGCGTGTTTAAGTCGAGTAATAAAGTGTTTGTGATGTAACATCATTGTCAGAATCTAACACCTCGGTATGTCAAATTTTTGGTAGAGCACCTTCATAACTCGAACCTCGCAGACTCAAAAAAATGGATAAGACGAATTGTTATCATATCCCCTTCAGATTCAAGGTACAAGGTCCTACTGTATATTCCCTATTTAAATAAAATTAGGTTTGACACATAATTACATTTGCTGCTAAAAGAAAGGTATTAAAGCGTGCTTTTAAGTTTAATTTAACTAGCTTAGTATTAAATAAGAATTTGCCAAAGCTTTATTAAAATATATCCATAAACAAGCAAACAAAAGCAGCTTACTAGCTCTCTCTCTCTTAAAAAAAAATATAGTTATTAATTTACAGTTTTTTTTCATTTCTTACAAAACAATTATAAGAAAATATAATTAAGAAAGAAATCGTAACATTTTTAATTATTTTCTGGAAAAATGATTAGAAAATCATTAAAACCCCTTTTCTAATAAACCTGTCATATGCTGGTTAGCTAACTCGTTCGAATTAACGTAGGTTGACATGTTTGTAAAAGAATTAATCAAAATCGGATAAGTTTAACTTGAGTTCTATATAGAGAGAGTCCAGCCTAGAGAAGTGTTCCAATAGCCAAATTTGTTATTTTATGTCTGAAAGTAAACTTCCTATAGGGGACCCCCTTTATTTTTTTATGTTGCTTTTAGGTATGTATTTCTATTTTCAAAATTTCCCACTATTTTTCCAATATGGCCACCAACTTTTGATTTTTCTTTTGGAAGACCCTGTATTTTATGATTTTTTTTAAAAGTAAATGCAATTTTAACAGTTTTTAATTCTTGGAATTTTTTCTTTGAAACTACTCGTTTAGGAGTTACAGCAAGTTACAAATAAGAAAAAATGACTTTCACCATGTAGCTCCTAAACGAGTAAGTTTAGGGAGAAAATGCGAAGAGTAAATAAGTCTTAAAATTGTGTCTACATTCTCAAAAATATTTATTCCATTGTTTAAAAAATAACCGCCATTTTTCAAAATGGTACCAAATTTGAAAACAGGAAAACCGTGTATTGAATAGACTTTTTAGAATGTAGATGCAATTTTAAGACGTATTTACTCTTCGCATTTTGGCACTAAACTTACTCATTTAGGAGGTACATGATGTAGAGTGTACACTGCAAGTCATTTGTTCTTAGTTGTAACACGCTGTAACTCCTAAATGAGTAGCTTCAAAGAAAAAAATCCAAGAATTAAAAACTGTTAAAAATTACATTTACTTTTTAAAAATCTTAAAATACAGGGTCTTCCGGAAGAAAAATCAAAGTTGGCGACCATCTTGGAAAAATGGCATGGAATTTTGCAAATAAATCATAAATACCTAAAAGCAACATAAAATAATAAAGGGGGTCCTCCATAAGAAGTTTACTGTAAGACATAAAATAAAAAGTTAGCTATTGGGACACTTTAGGCTGGACACCCTGTATAGATAATATATACATATAAAAATGTTTTACAATAATTACTGTTTTTAGTCTCTGCAGACATCAAAGTAAAAGTAAATTGGTTCCGGGTCTATAGGTCTTACCAAAAGACCTATGGTAACAGATTTTACCTAGATAATTAATACGCCAAAACAATAAATTTTAATATTTAAGAAAAAAACATTTCAGTTCTATCATACCTGGTCAAAAGGACCCTTGTAGGTTCATGATTCTGTACAACTCCTCCAGGCTTGTTGATGGTTTGTGTATATTAGGTTAACTTTAAAATATAGGTCTATATATAAAATCAGTGTATACTGTACAAAATACAATATACGTAGTACTATTTAAAAAAAAAAAATTCCAAATAATACCACCATGTTCATAAAACTACTAGATTCCTTTCAAACTTTAAGCAACAGAGAGACTCAACCCCCAAACAAAAATATTAATTAGATAATAATATCTATGGTTCTTACCGTCAACACAATCAGGAGTAATATTCCACTACGGCCGTTTCGGAGATGACTCCATCGTCAGGTGCGTAGTGGTACAAGACTATAGTTTAGTGTACCACTACGCACCTGACGATGGAGTCATCTCCGAAACGGCCGTAGTGGAATATTACTCCTGATTGCGTTGACGGTAAGAACCATAGATATTATTATTATATTTCCACGCAATCTGCCACACTCAAGAATATATTAATTGGCATTAAACTAATCATGTTTTCCAAATTACTCACCAAAATCTTTTGTAAGGCATTTACTGACTGGTTAGCAACAGGTATCCCATTGATTTCCTTGATTTCGTCCCCAACGTGTAACGTGGCTTGTCGATGAATCATGCCTCCATGCATGATCCTGGCCACTATACACTTGCCGTCTTCGTTCATCTTCAATGTGATGCCCTGGAAAAAAGACAAATATTGTAAGGATACAAAAATAATACAAATCACATACTTCAAACAGGAGGGTTATGGGCTCATACAAGTCGAAACCTAATGCAGGTATCATTTTATGATATTCTTTCTTGATTCCATTTGTTAAAGATGTGGTTGGTCTTTTTGACCTCACTATTATGCCCATTTAAAATTATATTACAACACATTAGAATATTTTAGGCTGCAAAGCTGTCTTAACCAGAATAATGTGTTGGGACTTATAATTGTGAACAAAACATGGTACCAGCAACCAAAATGTAAAACAAAAATTGTGGGGACTAAACAATTTCTTTGAACCCCATACAATCCTCCACAAGCTTCCCTCCATAGCTAGGTTAAATGTACAGACACAATAGATCTCAATCAACTATGACTAACTGTGATTAGATTACTTAGACTTAGTGGTAGATTACTTAAACCAATTGAACTACTAGACGTGTTTACTTCCACGACTTGTAGAGAGGGTCAAGTAGAAGTTCTCCGACTGTGGTTGACTTGAAAAGCAGTGAAGGAGATTTGTGAACTGAATGACTATAGTCGTCACCTACTAATCAAAAGGTTGCTATTGCAGTTCTGAGTCCATGTTTTTCCATGGAACTTGACCCTACATAACTCTACAAAATCAAATTTATGTGTTCACTTTGTGCCACCCTTTATATTTGTCAGGACCACATTTCCACTCACCATTGGTTCGTCAGTGTTTTTCTGGAACTGTACGAGGCGCACACGGGTGACATTCTCCAGGTCACCATCGTCCTGAGCCTCTAGGTCATCGTCATCGCCGTTGAGGTAAGGTAGAGGCGGAGGCGTCACCCGCATCGCCTCTTCTCCATAGATCTCGTGAGCGACCACGTCGTGCGCCTGCAGCAGTGACTGCAACAGAAAACGCAACGCTTTAGTAAATACTCTACAGTTTTATTTCATGTATTGCTCAGGAAGAATGCCTGTCATATTAAAAGTTATGCTGAGCAGGTGGGTAAGGTATTTAGAGAAATAAAAAAAAAAATTAAAGCTTCAATTTTATTTACTACTAGCAGAGTACCCGTCCTTCGTACGGGGTTGGCATATAAGTATAAAATGCTTATTGCAGTTATACTCAAGCTTTGTGTTTGCAAGGGGGGAGGATACAGTTTGATAAAATTTGGTTCATAAATTTACGTTATGATACGTTTTATATTGTTCTACCACTGTACCTAAAAAAAAAAAAAAATAAATTATCAAACATTCGCACAATATCTTAAATTATTTATTAAATTAAAAACTCAAACCTAACTGTAACTAAACAATCCTACTTGGACAGTTCTCATTATCACAGTTTTTTGTTGCTGCTTAGTTCAAATTAGCTGTTTTCATAAATAATGAAAAAAGTAATAGTGCTGCACCAAATCCATGGTAGTTTATGCGTGATTGAGCAACACACAAACTTTCAGATTTATAATATTAGTTAGATATGGACATTAACTTACTAGCTTATGAACTTAATTTGATAAATTAATCAAATATAGTTATTAAAAGAAACTACCTAAAGGTAAATCCTAAGAAAACTAGGGTCTCAATAAAGCTAATTTAAAACTTAGGTGTGTACTATACTAGTTATTTCATTTCTAAACAAATAGCTAGGCCCAAACTCTTAAACTGTATGTTTTCAATAAGGCAACACCAGAAGGTAATTAATTTACAAAAATGTACCTAAGAAGAGCTTATACGCCAATAATTGGAAGATTGTCACTCACAAGTACTGAACAAATAATAAAAACCTTACCTAAACACATTACAGAGTACATGGTTAGAAATTCATAAGTTATCTGTTTTAAAAATAAAAACAACACACATTAATTAACGACTGATTGTTATTATTGTCACTTCTCATTAAATACTTGGTTAATATAAGAATTAAAGACATTATTGAATGTATAATGATGGCAACAAACTAATTTATAAAGACATTTTTCTTTGGAGGAAATAGTTTTATTTTAAAAAGTATGAATGGTTGTCCCTATGTATTTCATTGATGATTTTAATCTCAAACTACCTAACTGATACAACTTTTAATATCAAAAGTAGACATTAACACTGCACGTGTAGTCTTCTTTAACATTTTTCACCCTCCAGAAGGATTTGAAGAAAAAGAAGGTTTTTCGCTTGACGAATACAAATGAAAACATTAGTTTGTAAATGCTGTTAATTTGAATATGCAAAAGCACACAATTAGCAGAGCAATGGGCGCTCGAGAACGTGAAGTGTTTCGAGTGTCATTCCTTCCTTGTACTTTCAATTATTTATAAACACATCCTACAGCAAAACGCTAATCTAAAAACCCATCCTACAGATACCATTATTAAAATGTTGTCTAACAGACAAAGTGTTTATTTTTACTAAGAATACAAAGCTTTTAACAGTCTTGCAATTTATAATTAGTTTAAAACACAATAAAGTTGTAACATAACTCTTAATAGACAGAATATATTTAACTTTCAAAGTCTTTTCTTGTGTTCTACAAATTACAGTATTGTATGACTAAATTTAATAATCAAAAGCAAAAACTCTGCAATCTATGAGGTGGCAAGAAATAGACAAAAAATAAGCTTACTCCTTTCAAATTTTTAGACGATTTTTGCTGTCGAGCACTTCAGAATGCAACAGGTAACTCAAATTGTAATAATTTTGTAAAGGACCTTTTCTCTCTGGTCTTGTTACTAGGTGTCAAACCTTTTTTTTTTGGATAGCAACATTAATTGGTAGCCCAATGACCAATGTCATCAAGATCCAGAGTCGAGCCCACTTGGGATCCAATCAGCATTCAGCAACCTTCAGATTTGAAGACAATAACTGTAACCACTCAGCTTCCTAGACAGATACTCTGAAGTTATCATAACTGAGAATATACTTTTCCACAAATTTTTCCACATTTAAAGAACATTATATTGCGTTTAAAATAAATCTATTATTGTTTCAAAAACAATATTTGTAAAAGAAGACGACACAATGCTGTGTGATATGAGAGATGCTACGTAAGGCGCACAGAGGAGTTGTGACGTAAAGTGGCCCAGAGGAGTAGGCCATGTATAATGTAGCACAGACGACCAGCAATCCTCACACATTCGCCATCTATCTTCAACTTTTCACCTACGTTCCATCCGTCATTTGGTGTTAGGATGAGGGAAATTCAAATTATTATTGCCACAAAAGTATTTCTTTCAAGTTGTTTGTGTTTCGGCTGTTCCATACCATTGAATTTTTATGTTGATTTTCAAGTGTTACAATCACGTTACAATATGGAATGCAACTGAAGTTTATCATACAAAATCTACAAAAATGCCTAAAAAAGAAAAGCACACACTTACTGAAACTGAATCAATGACAGATTCACCTGTGTGACCCACGACCCTCACAGACCACACAGTGTGAAACTGTGTTTGATGGATTGTCAGGCTGGGAGAGACAGCAGCAAGATTGTTCTGTGTACATAATACATGGATCCCCGAGGTCTCACAAACACTACAGTGTTTTGGACAGTTCGGCTGCTACAAGGTACAGAAAGAATGGCTTGGGAGTAAATAACTTTGAGTTGGTATAAAGGTTTGCAAATAATGGAAAATGTTTAAATAAAATCAAATACAAAAATACTACGTAGAGAAATGTGAAACTGAAAAGTGGCTTTGGGTTTAAAATAATATTGATTTGGTGCTAGGGTTTGTAAACCAAAGGTTGAGCAGCATAAGGGACTTGGACTGCTTTCTCTTAAAGCTTTAGTGCTTCTTCTAAACAAAATCCTACTGATCTAGATAAAAATCAAATTTAATTAGTGCATACTTCATACGTAAACAATTTGAGTATCAAAAGAGATTATTTAGTTGAAACCTTTATCAAAATACAAGAATTTGGTCAAAAGTTAGGGTTACACCCTACATATTGAGTTTTAAGGCAGTGGTGGGATATTTGAATAGTAAGCAGCAACTTAAAACACATCGAGATACTACACTAATATCTAGGTAGCCAAGTCGTCCCAAAACTCAGTGTTCCCCTTCAAATTTGAAGATTAGCTTGTTTAACCCCTTGTCGTCATCTGGGGTGGACCCAGATTCCCCTTGTCATTAACCAATTAATTAGTGATGCGATCTAACAAAAGGGGAAAAATTAGATAGTAAGAAGTCCAGAATATAGACCTAAAACCAATGATGTTAATCATACAAAATACAAAACAAAACAGATATACATTAAAACTATTAATATACATTAAACCACCGGTGACAAAATCTACGTTTCTCTAAACCAACAAAAACTGGAAAATACACTATAACTAAGTCTTGAACTTATTGGGTCTCTTGATTCAAAGCAATACCTCAAATCTAGAGAAGAAAGCGGAAACTGATAAGGGGAAAATAGACTAAATGTGAATACTATTAAGCATCCAGAAACACTCTTCAATGTTGAAATGTTCAAATCCTTAAATCTTACTTAATCCGGCATCAAACACCACTGAGGAGAAAACACCCACTAAATCTTCCCCTAAGTGTGATGTTAAGAACGTAAACAATTCCCCTGATTTCCGTTTATGAAAAGTCCATTTGGAGATTTACCAATTAATACGATTTGTATTGTATATAAATCATACAGGATATACTAAAACAATTTTAAATTGTTAGAAATCTTTAGTAATTAAAATGGTTTCATTTATTACTTTCTCCCCCTATACCATAGTATATGGAGAAAGTATTGTTTTCGTCAAAATTTTCGAGTTTGAGTTTTGAGTGGATATATTCGTTTTGGGTCCCCCTGGACCCAAAAAAGTGGTTTTCGAAGTGATGTCTGTGTGTGTGTGTGTGTGTGTGTGTCTGTGTGTCTGTGTGTCTGTGTGTGTGTGTGTCTGGATGTGTACAGAGCTAGAGACTACACCTGTGGTCCGATTTCGATGAAATTTGTGATGTAGGTTCTAATCCATGGTATCTCCAGGCGTTTTTTTCATTTTTTTGAAATTTTGATTTTTAATGGGGATTTTCCCATAAAAACCCATAAAAAACCGGAAAAATCGGATTTTCTCAAACATGGCCCGAACGATTTTGATAAAAATTTAGTATGTTGTAGCCCTTTAAATTCTGAACAAAATGGTACAAATCCCATTTCTGTAAAAATTACGGTTCAAAAGATATGGTAAATTATGTTATTTTCCCATAAAAATCCCATAAAATAACGAAAAATTGGATTTTAGACAAAAAAGTCCGTTTTTATTTAACATAGTTTGTTATGATCCTTACAATTTTGATAGTTTTTCTCATTTCTTAGAAATTTTTTTTTTTAATGGGTATTTTCCCATAAAACCCCATAAAATGACGGAAAAAAAAGATTTTCCCAAAAATGGCCTGAACGATTTCGATAAAAATTTAGTATGTCATAGTCCTTTATATTCTGAACAAAATGGTACAAATCCCATCTCTGTAAAAATTACGGTTAAAAAGTTATTGTAAATTATGTTATTTCCCCATAAAAACCCCATAAAATAACGGAAAATCATATTTTCCCAATATTGGCTCGAACGATTTTGATAAAAATTTAGTATGTTATAGCCCTTTAAATTCTGAAGAAAATCTTACAAATCCCATTTCCGTATATTTACTCTCACCGCTTACACATGATAAAGGTTTTTGACAAACTTATGGGAGAAAGTATGTGTCAGAATGCTGATACCGTTTATTGTATTCCTCATTCTTGTTACTGCAATTTTCTAATACAGTAAATAAACACACTTAATTGTAACTTTTTATTATAATTTTTACTGATTCCTCTAAATATTTCTTCACATAACCTTTAATGTTGCAGTTGTGTTGACTGTCACTGTAATTATTATATAATATACCTATATACTGTATTATATT